GCATACAAAATAATGGTATCATTTTGATATTTTTACAATGTGTAGAGTATAATTTGTTCTTTTCAATTCCTCATTACTTTTCTTGTGCCCCTAAGTCCTCCTCTTCCTCCCAAGCAGTTTCTCTTCTACTTTCATATTATACACATGTGTGTTCATATCTTTTAAAGACATTTAGATTCGAGAAAATAATGGGCTTGCATCTTTCTGGCTCTGCCTCATTTTGATTATTGTGGTCTCGAGTTCCATCCATTTCCTGCTAAATGACATAGTTTCATTGCTTATAGTGAGTAAAATTTATTACACACACACACACACACACACACACACACACACACTTTGGACACCTAGTCTAATTCCACACCTAGGTTATTGTGAATGGTGCCACAGAATGTGAGGTGCTTCTGCCATGTGCTAAATTAGTCCATCAGGTGTCTAGCCAGCAGGATTCAACTGCATCATAGACCAGTTCTAATTTTAGTTTTTTGAGGAACTACCATATTGATTTCCACAGAGACTCACTAATTTATATTACTAGCATCTGTGTATATAACCCTGGCAAGCCATGCCCCCATTTGGCTGGCGTTTATTATTTTGGCTTTTTCTCATAGGGATGAGACTCTCAATGTAGCTGGGTGTGGCGGCGCACACCTTTAATTCAAACACTTAGGAGATTCATTCACAAAGTTCCAGGAAGGCAACGGCTACATAGAGAGATCCTGTCTCAAAAAAATTCAAAAAAGAAAAAAAAATTGAACTACATATTAACATAAAACTAAAGTAAATCACATTCTAAGCAAGTTGGTCTAAATACTAAAAAAGGAGGAAAAACAGTGTAATTCATTTTATGAGGCCAGCGTAGACTTATGCCAGAGTTAGAGAAGAGGGAAGTACAAAAAAGCAAACGGAAGTCCGTTTGAAGTTAAATGGTATGAATTTATCCAAGTTAAACCTACCATGTATCTTAAAATTGTGTCTTGCTAAGGAGGCTGGGTCTCACAAGCATAGGCGACGTGAATGCAAGCCAAGTAGCAGGCACGAGGCACAGGTAGGAAAAGATGACAAAGCCGTCACTCTGTCACTTTGTGTAACTAACAACCCACAAACTAAACAACAGCAGTCAACTCCACGGACCGAGTCAGCTGTCACACTGATGATCTGAAGGTCAGAGAACTCAGCGACTGTGCACACAGAGCTTTAAAGGTTTTTATTCATTTACATTTGTCTATGGGAAGGGGCTATGTGCTGTGGCCTAAGGGAAGGGCAGAGAACACCTTTGTGGAGTTGGTCATCTCCTCCCACCATTTGGGTTCTTTGGTCTGAACTCAGGTTGTGGGGCTTAGGGGCACACAACTTAACCCAGGGGGCCGTCTTTCCAGCCTTAAAAATGTGTGTGTGTGTGTGTGTGTGTGTGTGTGTGTGTGTGTGCCTGCGTGTGTATGTGTGTTTGGGGGTGGGGGGGGGTAGTGTTTACATGGGGACCAAAGGAGAATGCTGAGTGTATAGCTCAATTATTCTTGACCTTATTTCTTTGAGACAAGGTCTCTCTATGAACCTGGTACTAGACTGGAGGCAAGCAAGCCTCAGCAATCCTCCTGTCTCCACTCCTCCCTTCCTCCTACAGTGCTAGGCCACAGTTGTTGCGCGGCCACACCTGGCTTTTTCCTGGGTGGAGATTTGAACTCAGGCTCTCACAGACTTGGGCCACTGCTTCATCTCTCTTGGTTTGTGCTGTGTACCTATCAAAGGCAGTCAAACTAGTTCCCTGTATGCCTTCCCGACGAAAGCCCTCCACGAGGAAAAAGACAGAAGCTGGCATACCTCTAAGGACTGGCCTCAGAAGTCAAGTGTTATTTTAGACCACTCCACTGGGTAAAGGCAGCAACACCCACATGTGACTCTCCTCAGGTGTGTGTTCTCCTCCTGAAATTTGTCACTGTGGTGGATCTCAAGGACACAGAAAGAGCCTCCCCCGCCACCACCACGATTGCTCTGAAAGGGACTGAGAATACACCGTCTACAGTGTCCAGCTGCACTTCCTGCTGCTAACAACACTAATAAAAACAATTAAGGGAATATTTCTGTTTCTCCATAAGAATTATGTTAATATTTTTATGGATACTCTTGGCAATTAACAAGTTTTCCCCCTTCTTCAAATTTCTGAATAGTATTAATCAGTGCCTTGCAGACTTATTGTCCAAATTATAAGTATGTGAGTTTTATTACTTTTTGCACCTATTAAGATATTTCTTTCCCAGCACTCGGGAGGCAGAGGCAGGCGGATCTCTATGAGTTCGAGACCAGCCTGGTCTACAGAGCAAGTTCCAGGACAGGCTCCAAAGCCACAGAGAAACCCTGTCTCGAAAAACCAAAAAAAAAAAAAAAAGTTATTTCCTTTTTGTTTTATAGTATTTATGTGGTAAATTGTATGGTGATATTGTTAAAATATATTTGCTGTTCCTGATTTTTAGCATATAGTACTTAAACATTCCAAATCTCTTAAGTGATAATGGTGTGTGTGTGTGTGTGTGTGTGTGTGTGTGTTTCTTGAAGCGGGACACAGTGGTACTTGACTTTAATTCCAGAACTGGTCAGGAAAAAACATGAGTTCAAGGCCAACCTAGACTACTTAGTTAAACTCAGTTCCAAAAGGGGTGGGTGGGGGAGATAGTGGGGACTAGGAGGGAGGGGACAGATGAAACATTAGTAAAATATTAATTGCTAAACCTGAGTCAATGGTATAGAGAAGTGGATCGCACTACTCTGTATTTGAAAAACACTTCATTTGTTTCTTGAGAACACAATCGCATTAAGTAATCATGGCTGACTTGTACTATGTAACCCAGGGAGACTTGAACTTTCAACAATCGCTTTGCCTCAGTCTCCTGAGCTCTGGAATACAGGGTGAGCCACCATGCCTAGCTACTTTCCTTCAACATACATCCCTTATAAAGCTTCTCTTTCCCAGATTCTATTGACTTTATCGCCTTGAATAGTTTGTTCACATCTTTATCATCAGGGTACATTATTATGCCTACTTGGGAATATATTCCTATGCTGACGGTTTATTTAAAGTGTATTCTTTTTTTTTTCCTCTCTCTTTTTTGAGCCAGGGTTTCTCTGTGTAACAGTACTGACTGTCCTGGAACTCACTTTGTAGACCAGGCTGGTCTCAAACTCAAAAAGATCCACCTGCCTCTGCCGCCCGACTTTATTTTTTAATAGTTCATCATTGCATATTCACCATGCACAAGGTTTTATGTTAGGCTCTATGTTATGTTATGTCTGTTATGCTCTAGACATGGGTAATGAATACAATAAATAAGCTATCTACTTTTGTTGCATGGAGAGTAAATAGTGCAGACAGGGAAATAAGTAGGCAAATGTGCAGTACATGCTGGGCAGGAAACCTAAAGGATTCAGTCAACAGAGACTAGTTGGGAAAGCAGGTTACTTCCAGATAGTAATTAGGACCTTTAGGTGGTAATCAAGACCTCTCAGAATAAGACACTCAGACCTCAAGGATATTTGCCTTACAACGAAGTGTATGTTTACATCCTCCTCATCTTTTTCTTTTCTGTTTTAAATTTATTTATTTATTGGGGTTTTCTTTGTAGCTTTGGAGTCTATCCGGAAACTAGCTCTTGTAGACCAGGCTGGCCTTGAACTCACAGAGATCCGCCAGCCTCTGCCTCCCAAATGCTGGGGATTAAAGGCGTGCGCCTCCACCGCCCGCCTCCCCCCCCCCCCCCCCCCGTGTTGAAATTTTAATCCCGCCTGTCATCCCACGTGATAGCGTAGGGAAACAATTAGCACCTTTATTATTATACTGCCAACAGTAACTTTGTTTTGGCTTTAAACTCACAGATATCCTCCTGCCTCTATCTCCCGAGTGTTGGGACTAAAGACTCCACCACCCGGCCCAACAGTAACTTCTAAGTAGTGTAAGAAGTCAGAAGCCCTTGTGTTTTTAAGTGGGGGCCAAGTGAAGTAAGGAAAACTGAGTTACAACGGCTATGAAGGCACCTGAACATCCTTCAACACCGTAATCAATTTGCAATCACAAGGCTACTTTTTTGGTTTTTTTTTTTTTTTTGGACAGGGTCGCTCTTTGTAGCCCTAGAACCCGTTAAAGACGTTGGGTTGGCCTTGGAGATAGCAGGGATTAAAGGCGTGGACCACCACGCCCAGCTGCCAAGGACAAGATTGTTCACCCGCAGCCCCACCACGGCAACTCGGAGAGGTCAGGGGGCTCGGGAAGCCCCGCGTGGGGCTGCAACAATTCGCATAAAACTGAACAGAAAAATCGACACGTGCTCGTTGCAGAAAATGGGTTTATTCGTAACCTGCTTCGTCAAATAAATCTCTCCGTACATCTTGGCTCGTTTTCTCTAGGTTACTTTCTTTTACATGAACACGTCTTTTCAAACTGGGACAAGCTAGCACCCGCCAGTAATTAGCGTCGCTACGAGGGGCGGCGGAGGGCGCCTTCCGCCCAGAACCCTCCACACCTGGGCTCTCCCTGCTTGGGGCAGCGCCGAGGCGGGGACTGAGTGTGCCGAGGCGGGGGCGAGCGTGTCCGCTCACTTCCGCGCGCGAGGCAGGGCGAGCAGGGTGGACTCTTCGGCGACACCTTCCTCACGGCCCGGCGATCCCAGGAGCCGCAGTCCCCGGCCACCGCGCAGGTGGTGCTCCAGCCCCGCCTCGAGCCCCAAACCCGCGGAGCCTCACCGCCCACCCCTCTCCCCCCGCCCAACGGCCTTGTCTAAACCTCTGCGCACGCGCCGTGCGGGCCCTAACGACTCGGCTCCGCCCTTCTTTCCGTACCTCTAGAGCTCGCCCGGGCTCGTCACCACAGCGCCGTGAAATCCTACTCCCGCCCCTGTAAGTCCCGAGCAGGCCTCCGATTGGCTGCCTGTCCTCGCGGCCTGCGTGGAGCGTGATTGGTCGGTGACTCCGTCCAATCGGCGGCGGGCTGTCGGATTCAAATCTAGAGCGTTGGGCCTGCGGTCGTTGGCCTCATTCGAGTCGTTGCGCCGGCCGTAGGCGGACGTGGAGCTCCTTGCGCCCCGTTTCCTGCTCCCCTTCTCCTCTCCGCGCGCCGGCAGGATGGCCCACAAGCAGATCTACTATTCGGACAAGTACTTCGACGAGCACTACGAGTACCGGTGAGCAGCGCCTGCGGAGGAGGGCCGGCTGGGAGGTCAGACCGGGTGGTCGGTACTTGGGCTCCCGTAGAGGCCTTCGTCCGTCCGGGCAAGCAGCGCTTTGTGTCGCGTTCTTCGGGGTTCGCAGGAGCTGGGCAGTCGGATGTCTCGGCAGCGCCTCAACCGGGAGCTGACGGAGGGGAAGCCCCGGGAGGTGCCCCGCTGGGAATTTACTAGGGTCTATTGGGGTGACGCTCGGGGCGTTATCAAAGAGCTTCGGGTTAGGTTGAGAAAACTCGAGGTTGCCCTGGGGAGGTATTGGGTTTTTTTTTTCCTCCCTTCACTTATGCTCAACTGCTAGTGTACTTTAGCCAGGTTTGGGACTTTTGAGGGGGTTTTTAGGGTTTGAACCCTGAGGTGCTCTAGGAAGTAGTGCCTGCGTTAGTGCAGTAAGCAAATGGGTTATGGAAAGCAGGATGGCTACAGTTAGCGTTATTGTGTTCGTGCCCTGGGGTGTGGTTTCGAAGGTCTTTCCGCCGCCGGCTCCGGGGTTGGGACTGGAGCATTGCATTCTGGGACACGGTCTAGCTACTCAAGATGGAAAAGCCTCTGTCGCCCCTGGCCAAACAGTGACCATGTTTTCTGTTTGCTGCCCTTTTCGGTTAGTCTCCTGCATGCTGTTTGAGGAATAAGACACCTTTTTAGAGAGTGGATCCCGCCCCACCCCCACATTCTCCTCACGCCTGTAGTGTAGAAATCTTGACAGCCGGAAATCTTTGTCTAGTCTGTTTTATAATTTAGTAATGCTTGAACTTGAATGTTTTTAACTAGGAAACCTTGTGGGGTTTTCTTTAACTATAAAATTTAATAACACCGAATTCAGCTTGGGGATATCCAACAATCAGCAGAAAATGATTGTACTGCCTTTCTAGTAATTTGCAAATAAGTCCAAGTGTTTAGCATAAATATTTATGAACTTGTGTACATTTCTTTAGAACATATTGCCAGAGCGAGATAGTTTTAAAACTTAGGCAATCAGTTGTCTGTGTTGTGTTTGGAAGCAGCTGCAGGCTTGTCTGAAGTAATTTGTTACCGCATAAATGAGCTAGTCTGCTAGCCACTGCTATTAGAAATGGGATGGAGAGCTCAGAAACCAGGTCCTCATTAAGGGGCTTTTCAAGCTTGCCATTCTGCCTCAGCCTTCCCAGTAGCTGGATTGTGGGTGTGTCGCCACACCTGAGCTGAGCTTCGTTCCCCACTCTTGGATTTAAAATAAATCCTCAATTTTATTTCTGTAAAGACAGACTCCTATGCTGGGCATAGTGGTATACACCTTTACTCTTAGGACTTGGGAGGCAGATGTAGCCAGATCTGTCTACACAGCGATTTCCAGGACAACTGAGGCTTTAGAGACCATCTGGGGGGGGGGGGGGGGAGATAGCTCCCAGATATTAGGGAAGGAGGTACAGCCTACTGTTTGTTCTTAGTAATCATCCATGACAAAAACAAGTTTCTACTCGACACCGTCCTCTACACCAGCTGCCCTAGACTCACACCTCTAATCCCCCTGCAATTGCTAATTGCTAACTTTGTGTAAATTTACTACACGAAAGGGTAGAATGAGGCTCTTAGGGTTTTAGAAAGAGATGCTTTGTGATAATTAAATGCTCTATTCAGGCAAAGGTGCAGATTTGTTTGTACGTATATTTGTTAAAGTTGTATTTGTTTTGGCCCTGAATCAAGGCCACCAGTTTGCTGGAACTGGTGGTTTCAAGCAGGAGCCTAAAGAAATGTCTTTCTATGGTCTGTTGGCCATTTCAGAAATTTGGAAATCTAATGGTCAATTCATTAGAAAGAAACAAACTGGCTAGATGTTGTATGTAGTTCTGTAATTGGAGTACTTGGAAGCCTAAGGAAAAAGATGGGGGGTTTTTGGAGGCCAACCTGCTCAATAGTAGAATGCAAACCCACTCTCCACCCCCATGAAATAGCTGGTAATTCATGTGGTGACTGATAAGTCTTAATCATTTCAAGTATAATACTTTTACATTACTGATTAAGATTTAACTTTGCCGGGCGGTGGTGGGGCATGCCTTTAATCCCAGAGGCAGGCAGATCTCTGCTAGTTCAAGGCTGGTCTGGTCTACAGAGTTCCAGGACGGGAACCAAAAGCTACGGAGAAACCCTATCTCAAAAATCAAAAAAAAAAAAAAAAAGATTTAACTTATTGTTCATTAAATTATATGTTAAATCTAGTAACAAGAAAAAAAAGATTGTGGGTTTTCCACATAAGGAAAAATTGCTGTGTTCATAATGGTTTGGTATTAAAGACTTACATGCCTACCAAATGTTCTGGAAATGCTTCAGTAATTTACTGGGAAACTAAAGGTCTATATGAAGTTCCACGGTCATGAATATTTGCAGTTAGAATTTTTGCTTTTAATTCTGAAGCATAAAGCAAACTATGAAATATATACAAGAATTTGTATCTACTGCAGATCTAGTATTGAGTAACACAAACACATTTACTAAATCTTAGTTTGTACATTCTTCTCTCTCCTTTAGTAATTTTAGTAAGTAAGTTTAGTAATCCCAGGTTGAGGTGGCAACTAATCCAGGTCCTAGGCTCCTTCCTCACTCATTCCTGTGCAACTTTGCCTCTATCTTTACCATCAGTCTATAGCAAACAGGAGAGTGGGTATATTCTTTACATTGGTATGATCTTTCTCTTTGAGTATACTTTTCAGTACTTGTGTATTTTCTGCCTATATTTTTTAGACCAAGAATTGTTTCATGACCTAAAAGAAGCTGTAGGAGAGTGAATCTATTCCTGGAAGATGACTCAATAGCAAATACGCTGTTAGCCCTAAAGAATAAAACGCCTTTCATTTCTGTGCAGCTTACTATTAGCCTTGAACGTAATCCCCTCAAAAGCCAGAAGTATTGTAGAGAATATCCAAGATTGATACCAAATATCTAGAGTTGCTTTAGAGAAATAAGTTTGTTTTGAGGACAAACCCTAAATTTTAAGTATCTCAAAAGGTATAAAGTAATAATGGAAGGAAACACAGCACTAATCTTTGGCTGAATTGTTTTTAACAGGCATGTCATGTTACCTAGAGAACTCTCCAAACAAGTACCAAAAACTCACCTGATGTCTGAAGAGGAGTGGAGGAGACTTGGTGTCCAACAGAGTCTCGGTTGGGTGCATTACATGATCCATGAGCCAGGTAAGCTTCGCTCTAAAGTACCAGCTAAAGACAACTAGTGTCGAGCGAGGGTCAACTTTAAAAACTCAAACATTCTCCGTTAGCCAAAAGTAACTGAGAAGCTCAACTATTTTTATGAATGACTGCTTCCTTATTCCCTGGTTAATGTTTTGTCTACCTGTAAAAGTGACTTATTCAGCATAAAACAAGTGTTTAACTTCTGTGCACATACAGAAATTGATGCAATTACATGGGATTTGTAGCCCTTTTAAAGAAATTATCTACAATATTAAATTTTAATAAGATAGACATATAAACACATTCTCCCTGTATCGTACATAAAAGCATCTTATTCCAGTATATGGTATTACTAAAAGTTTTCTAGGCATTAAGAAGTAAACTAGACTGACAAAAGCAGTGGAAGGACTTAACTATAGATTCCTGACCTTCCTCATACTGAAATGGGAAGTGTGTGGGCTCTCCTGGTTCAATTATCTTTAGAGATTACAGTTTCCTACATAAGTTCAAGCTTGGACTGGAACTCTCCAGCCTTTCCAAGCTAAATGCAGGGATTGCGGATATATAGCACCACACCTTGATTTTGTTGTTTTTGGGTTTTTGTTTTATTTTTCAAGACAGGGTCTCTCTGTAGTTTTGGGGCCTGACCTGGAACTAGCTCTTGTAGACCAGGCCAGCCTCTCTGCCTCCCAAGTGCTGGGATTAAGGGCGTGCACTACCACTGCCCGACCATTCCTTGCTTTCTGGTGGTTTGTTTGTGATGAGATTGGATCTTTGTACTTAATTACATTAGCACAAGATCCAGTAGTCAGTTTGAATGAGATGTCCTTTTCCCAAAGAGATAACATTTCTCTTCGCTGGAAATGACATTTTACAGGTAGAAACCATTCTCCCCGGAGTGGGCTAAAGATTAAAATAGTGGAGCAATGCTAGTTTAAGATAGTTTGCCTGTGTTTATTAATAATATAATTCATTTTAATTAGTGACTGGTTATTGGCATGCAAGTTAATGATAAATATTTCCTTTCCACAGAACCGCATATTCTTCTCTTTAGACGACCTCTTCCAAAAGAACAACAAAAATGAAGTGCAGCTGGGATCACCTAATCTTCTTGAAATTAAATGTATATGTGTATATAAGGGTAGTATTCAGTGAATACTTGAAAATGTACAAATCTCTCATCCATACCTGCGCATGAGCTGTATTCTTCACAGCAACAGAGCTCAGTTAAATGCAACTGCAAGTAGTAGGTTATTTTAAGTTGTTAAAGATAAATTTTCTTGTAGTTTTTTTCTTAATATAAGTAGCGCCTGTTTTACTTTATCTGTTACTTTGTTAAATAAAGTTTGTATGTTGCATTTACCACTTGTTGAAATTAATTTGACTTGACTTTTCAATAATTTTACCCCAGGAAGAAATAAACTTACTTAAAAGAAATATTAAGCTCCAAATGATGGGATTACTGGCGATATTTAATCTAGCATCAAAGGAGATTTTCAGCTTTATTGGTATTCTATTTTTCCCAGACAATTGTCTGGATTCTTCAAGTGAACAGAAAACCCCTACTTGATACTACAATACTACTTTGTTGTGTCCACACTGACTACAAAACAATAGTGGTTTCAGAAAAAATTTGGTTTTTTCGAGACAGAACCCTGTCTCTGTAGCTTTGGAGCCTGTAGCTCTTGTAGACCAGGCTGGCCTTGAACTCATGGAGATCCGCCTGCCTCTGCCTCCCAAATGCTGGGATTAAAGGCGTGCACCACCACTGCCTGGCGGAGAAAACGGTTAAGAAGCTTTGAAACACCATACATATTTATGTGTTTGGGTTGTCTTTTTGTCAGGCAAGATTACAGACACATTAGTGGGTTGCCATGAGAAATGTATAAATGACCAGTAACATAAAACTTTGGTTATATTAACAAGGGTGACTTAACAGTCACTGAGCCACAGCCTTTGGTGTGTGCTGTACGGTAACCCTGTGGGACAACAGCTCTGGCTGTCTCGGGACTGCTTCTTAGACCATGTTGGCCTCAAACTCGGAGATCAGCCTGCCTCTGCCTTCCGGGGCTGGGATTAAAGGAGTGCTCCACCACCACACTTTGACACCCTATCTTGCCCTATAAAGTCCACACTGCCAATGTTTCTGGCCCCCCCTCCATGAGCCTGCATCACCGCCGTGAGGGTCTAGCTAGGGCACTCAGCCAGGCCTCCCGCCCAGCCCACATAAGCAGAGCTCAGCCACACCTTAGAGGCTGCCAGAAGCCACCTCCAAAAGCAGCTGCCCCGGGTCTGTTCCCACGTGCTGCCCGCACATCCGGACGCCAAGCACTTCCGCCATAAAAAGGCTTCTGTCGCCTTTCGGTGACGTACATCCTGTCGCTGTAGTGCCGGTAGGCGGAAACGTCGAGTCGTTGGTTGGCCCCGCCGCTCGGTTCACGGCGCGGGCTATTCCGTGGCCGCCATGGCGTCGGAGCGGCCGCGGGAGCCCGAAGGCGAGGTAAGGGGCTGGCTGCGGCCACAGGTACACGCGCGGGGCCGCCAGGGCTGAGGTCTGGGGCAGGGCGGCTTGGCCCTCCCACGGCTCGACCCGCGAGTGATGCCACAGAGGCCGCCTACGGCCCGCGGCTCCGCAGACCCGCGTCCGCACCCTGCATGACCGCTAGATGGCGCACCGGCGCGCTCAGAAACCCACTCTAAATCGGCCAAACACGGTGATGAAGTTGTCAGAATAACTGCGTCGTAACTGCAAGACAAAGCTCAGTTTTGAATTCCAGGGACTCATGGCAGTGAGATGATTTTTTTTTCGCAAAGGTTCTATGTGGTTTACTAAGTACAAATCAAATATTTGGTGCTTTTTGTTGCAATATTCAGTGGCAATAAATTTCAGCAGTGTGTTTTATAAACTAGAGTTTTGATCATTCCCTGGGTGTATTTGGCTACAGTAGTTCCAGGATTCTTGTGTATCTCATACATAAAGATGAGAAAGGTAAAAATAACGGTCTCCGAGTTTAAATCCTCAGAATCGTCCTAAGTTATGGTTCTTATTACATAACAATGTTGGATTTGCTTCAACTTTAATTCAGGGTCAGAATTTCACTTTTAAAATCCAGTAAATGTCTTTTCCTAATAAATCATTAAGGAGATATTGATGCTAAAGGAATCTCTGTCTTTGCTGTGCACCTTTTAGTCAGCGTTGGACCTGTTAGAAGAATAGAGCAGCTTTCTTTGGATTTTTGTTTGTCTGCGTTTGGCAAATCTCAGCGTGTTATAGCCCAACCCACCCTTTCTTCCTCAGGATAGCATCAAGTTGTCAGCTGATGTCAAACCATTTGTCCCTAAGTTTGCTGGGCTCAATGTGGCGTGGTCAGAGTCCTCAGAAGCGTGTGTCTTCCCTGGCTGCGCAGCCACTTACTACCCATTTGTGCAGGAATCACCGGCGACTGAGTATGTATTTTCTAAAAGCCTTGCCTTACGTAAAAGGATTATTTCCTGGAGACACTGGTAATCACATACCCCCACATACTCTGAAACACTGATACCAATCTATTGCAGGGGAGGAAAGGAGGTCACAGCACAGTGCAGGATTTGGTGTAGGGGTTGAAGCAGGAAGGATCCTGAGGTCCTGGAAAGAGGCTGAGCAGGCAGTAGGGCAACTCCTCAGCAAAGGGAATGGCCAAAAGCTATTGAGTCCAGGGCCGCCGAGGCCATGTCAGGTACTTACTGTGCTGACATCCACCTGAACTTCTTTTTTAACTTTACCACTTGTTTTGTGGTGATATGGATTAAACCCATGGCCTTAAGCATTTTACGAAAGCTGTGTGCCATTGAGCTCTATTGCCCAGCTGCCTAGTTCATTAGTTTTAAACAGAAGGTCTGCAACAGCCTTTGTAGGAAGAAAAAGAGGGTCTGTTTGATTGTATGTATGTACATGCACATGTGTTGTGCATGTGAGTGAATGTGCACATGTGTGCACATGCATGTGGAAGCCCGCAGTTGATGTTGATCCCTGGTTCTCTTCTTCCATTTTTTTGAGAAAGAGCCTCACTGAGCTCGTCAGTCGGCTGGACCGTGAGCCCAGGGGTCTGCTCTTCCCCACTCGGGGCTGGAGTTCCAGACACTGCTGCACACTGCTTTCCCGGGCTCTGAAGCCCAAGCTCAGGTCGTTGGCTTCTGCTGCAGGCATTTTACTGACTGAGCCATCTCTCTAGCTCACATTCCGTTGTTGGTAGGGGACTTTCCAGTGCTAAAGTAAATGACCCTAAAAAAATAAAAGGTTTAAACTATTGTCTTACAAAAAAATTAATGTCCTTGGTTTGTGTTAATGAAATCTGCAACTGAAATTTACACTTTTTAGACAAAAAGTTTATCCTGAAGACATGGCCTTTAGAAAAGCCCCTGCATTTCCAGCGCAGTACGTATCTTCTGAGCTCTCCCTGCATCCGTTTGCCCGTTCCACTTATGCCCTTGAGTCTGCACAGAGTGCTTGCTCAGTGCCAGCCCTGCAGTGTGATTACAGCCAAGCACAGTGTCACCCGGGCTTTCGGACAGCAAAGCCCCGAAATGAGCACATGTGCCCTCCTCAGGACGCAAAAGGTGTATTGAAGGTGAGGAAATGCTGTGCTTTGTAGTGTCCTGACCCTGATCATTTGAGTGTTTAAAATGTAAGAAATTAGTGTGTTGAGTGACATTTAAGTGTTGCTTACCTTTTTGTGATAAGCAGCCTTTTTTACCAATGGTTTGATCTATTCTTTCCTTAAATGCTTAAAATGTGAATGCTTACTGGTTTGCTGGACTGAAGTTTCTTTCTCAGTGTGGTAGTAGGTTTTTTATTTCATACTATTTTCTTAAAATCTCTTCTGCAGAAAAAATACTCTGATGGGAGAAGAACATGTGACGCGCAAAAGTCAAACAGCAGAAGGGCTGACGGCACGGTGCCATCCGAGATGAGACCAGCTAGAGGTTCCTGTCACCTGTCCGCTCGCACCGAGGGTAGTTTGAAATCAGGTAAAACTAACGACCTTATCTAGTGCCAATCTGACACCTTCCTGAAACAGTACTATCCCTGCGGGTTGCTTATCATGACTGCTCCAAGAAATGTGCCCTGGAGCCTGGCCTAGCTGAGGCCAAAAACACTTACTGTGGTTTCTAGACATTGCTTCTCTCAAGCAATAGTAGGGCTGGAAGGGGTCAATACAGCGTGGGATGTGTTGCATTGTATACTCGGAGGTTCCGTAGCCTGTTAGGAACACCACGTAGCTTGCAGGTGATGACCCCAAGGTCAGAACATAACCTTAGTTCAAATCACAACCGTAGTCTTTACACTGTGTGTGTCCGTGCTCACTCCTAAACTGCATCTCCATTTTGAAGGCTCACTTTAAGTGACTTGACCCTAGGACTTGACCATAGTTAAAATGCCATGCTAAATAGTACCAAACCTGGGCACTCTGGTTACTGGAGATTACACGTGCATCTCCCAGCTGGAAAATTTCTGTTCGCACCTGGCTGAAAACTAGGGAGTCTACCTGATAACCTATGTTATTTTTAGTTTCAAGACCAGGCCTTACTATATAGATCACACTGACCTTGAACTTTCTCGATCCTCCTACCTCAGCCTCCTAAATGGTGGGATTATTAATGTGGACCACTATGCTTAGGAAAAGCTATTTTTAAGATCTCTTATGCCCGAGTCTTTAGAGTGTTCCCAGCTGCATCTGTTATTCCTAGAAGTCATCTACTAGTACTGTTTGACCATAGACACAACAATTTTCCTTTTTCATTTCTTAGAATTATTTGTTGTTTGTTTCCTTTGGTTTTTCGAGACAGCTTAGCGAAGAGTTAAGATTTTTTTTCTTCTTCTTCAGAGCTAAGGACTGAACCCAGGGCCTTGTGCTTGCTAGGAAATCACTCTACCACTGAGCTAAATCCCCAACTTACTTTTATTTGATGTGTACTGTCTGTGTGAAGGTGTCAGAAGACTTTCTGGAGCTAGAGTCACAGGCAGTGGCAAGCTGCTGTGTGGGTGCTGGGAATTGAACCCAGGCCCCCTGGAAGAGCAGTCAGTGCTCTCAACTGCTGAGCCAGATCTCTAGCTCCCACAATTATTTCTTCTTTTTCTTTTTTTCTTTTGGTTTTTCGAGACAGGGTTTCTCTGTAGCTTTGGAGCCTGTCCTGGAACTCCCTTTGTAGACCAGGCTGGACTCGAACTCACAGAGTTCGCCTGCCTCTGCCTCCCAAGTGCTGGGATTAAAGGCGTGTGCCACCACCACCTGGCCCCCCACAATTATTTCTATAATATTTACAGCTTTTGATTTGTTATTGTTGTTTGGTTGGTTTTTCATTTGGTTTCGATTTGTTTTGAGA